GCTGTCGGGACCGGGCCGCGAGGACGCTGACCCCGGCGTGCCGCCTTTCCCCGCTGGTGGTGTGCGTCCGTGTGCCGTCCCGGAGTCTGCTTGCTCTCGCCTGCCTCGCCACAGCTCCTCTGGGTGGCTGATCCTCACCCCCGACCCAACGTGCTAATTTTGACTTCTGATGTTTTAAACTGACTTTTAAATTTCGGCAATTTTACTTGTCAGTTAATACTGAAGTTTGGGAGGAATCGTTACAAGGTTAAGAAACAGCCTTCCCCCGTTCTTACATGAATAGCTTTTTCTTTTTAAAGAAGTGATTTCCAGAGCATCAAGTGTAAGTATGTATGAGCATGTGTGTCACCGCACAGTCTGAGAGTATCACGTCTCTCCAGCCTGTCCCCCGCAAGCGTCCCCGCGTGTCACAGCCTGCTCCCCTCGCCCTCTCTGTAGGATTGAGTATGACGCCTACCGCACGGACTTGGAAGAGCTGAACCTCGGGCCGCGCGACGCCAGCACCCTGCCCAAGATTGAGCAGTCGCAGCAGCTGTTCCAAGTGCACAAGGAGAAGTACGACAAGATGCGCAGCGACGTTTCCATCAAGCTGAAGTTTCTGGAAGAGAATAAGGTGAGTTCAGCCTTCATCTTCCAGATGTTTATGTGAAGTCACTTTGAAGAGAGGTAAATAGGAAGTGTTTTGTTTTGGTTTGGTTTTACTTTTGTTTTTGTTTTTAAGCTACTGAGTCTGGGACTTGAACTGCATAGTGGACCATGTGAGATCCACCTGCCTCAAGGTGGCCTGCAAGGTTTTTGTTTTTATTAACTTTCTTTTATGAAAATTAAAGACTTTTGTTTATACATATGTGGAGTTGTATCAATGTATTGCCAGAAGACACAAGTGCTTGCTAAAGAGAGAGAGAGAGACCTCCCTGTGGGGCAAGGCCATGCCACAGTCCTGTCCCCTGCATTCCCATCCCATCAGGACTTGGGGCACACATGCCCAGCATGTTTTTTAAGATACCAGATCTGGGTCAAACTGCATCAGCCACGTGGGCTCTAGCTCCCACTGCACAGCCCTTACCACTGCACTGTGGGAGCCCCGGAAGTCCACTTATAATCAGGGCTGGAGCGGTGCGGGCTGAGGTGGGCCTGTTGGACACTTCACCTGGAGATGGAGCCATGCAGTAACAGGCTTCCTGGGTGTCATGAAGGACCTGTTCCCATGTGCGGCCTTAGCTCCATCTCCTTCCTTCTTGGGTTGTGTGAGGGGTCACAGTTCTGGGAGTGGAGAGCTGGTCTTGAGCGTGAGTAGGGGCAGGTCCACCCAGGGAGGGGAGCTCAGAGCAGGGGCAGGTCCACCCGGGGAGGGGAGCGCAGAGCAGGGGTAGCTCCACCCAGGGAGGGGAGTGCGGAGCAGGGGTAGGTCCACCCAGGGAGTTGAGCGGAGGGGAGCGCAGAGCAGGGGTAGGTCCACCTGGGGAGGGGAGCGCAGAGCAGGGGTAGCTCCACCCAGGGAGGAGAGTGCGGAGCAGGGGTAGGTCCACCTGGGGAGGAGAGCGAGGAGCAGGGGTAGGTCCACCCGGGGAGGTGAGCGGAGGGGAGCGCAGAACAGGGGTAGGTCCACCGGGTGAGGGGAGCGTGAAGCAGGGGTAGGTCCACCCGGGAAGGAGAGCGCGGAGCAGGGGTAGGTCCACCCGGTGAGGGGAGCGCGGAGCAGGGGTAGGTCCACCCGGTGAGGGGAGCGCGGAGCAGGGGCAGGTCCACCCGGGGAGATGGTGCTCCCATTGCACCTTGGTGGTCTCCCCCTGAGCTGGTCACATACTCTGAAGTCCTACAGGGGCCACGCTTTCTCTTAGGTACCCCTTTTAAAGTTATTTGTCAGCTCTCCCAGGAAGGAGTAATGTCTCTGTTCTCCACAACATAAGAGGACTTTATTAGCTTACTCTGTTGGTATCTTCTTGTTTTTCTTGACACTTCTTAGCCCTCTTCTGGCTCCCATAAGCCCTGCACAATGGTGCGTTTCCTGGGAATCTCCCATGTCCCGTGTGATCGCTCACGTCTTTTTTTGCTACTTACGGGTGAAAATTCGTCACTAGGAAGCATCACAGTGGCAGCGAAGGGAACCTCAGGCGCGTCGTCAGGCCCACGGCCGCATCGTTCAGACACCAGCACAGAGTGGCCGCGGCCTTTTAGCACTGGCAGCGAGACGGGAGCTTGCCATCACTGTAGTCAAACGTGCATGGGTCACGGCGCCCAGTGACTGTAAGTGCTTAGACGTCGACATAGTGTTTAAATGCAAAAGTACCTTTGCCATTCTACCCTGTCATTGCATTTTGTGTTGCAGTGAAGGGGTAGGCTAGAGTGATGCGTGTGTTTGATGAGGAGGTGGTGCTCTAAAGGAAGATGGAATCAGAAAGTTATTTGGAAGCCACATCGCGTAGTGCCTTGATGGCCTCACGGGTGCACTGAGCAGAGGGGAGAAGGAAACTCCTCCTGCCAGCCAGCTGTCGGTCAGGTGGCCTGCCTCCTAGCTTTATCACACAGGCATTGAAGAATGTTTTAAAGGGCACAGAGAAAACTTGATCTCAAAGGCCCCTTCAGACACATGGCTTAAAGGAGGGAGGAATGTGGAAGCACAGACCAGCAAAGTCTTCTGTGGCCACACGCAGTGACAAGAAGCCCACACGATAACCCTAGGGAGGAAAGAGTATGGCAGTTCTGGGGCCATGTGACAGGGATCAGAGAGTCAAAATAGGAAGCCGGGGTAGCTCGCAGGGGTGAGGGTGAGGGATGGGAATTCGTTCTGCATGACCCTCTGTTTAAGTTTGCGATGGCAAAATAGCCGAGTGGAGACAATTGGTAGGAAGTCAGTGATGTGTGTTTGCAGTTTCTGAGAACAGTCAGGCGTCAGAGATACAGGGTTCAAAGTCGTTGCTTTGAGAATAATGTTATCATTATACATCTTGTCCCTTTTTTACTGTAAAATAATAATAGACAATTTCTTCTGTTCTCAAGTATTTTATGTTCTCGGATGGTGTCTGAATCCATTCAGGCTGCTGTAATGAAATGCTGAATGAGCTTGATTTCTTACAGTCGTGGAGACTGAGAAGGCCACCATCAAGATCCAGTGTGTAGTGAGGGCCTGCTTTCTGGCTCCCAGGTGGCCCCTCATGGTGGAGAGGAGAGACCTTTCTCAGGCCTCTTTATAAGAGCACAGATCTCATTTGTGAGGACTCTGCCCCTGTGACCTGATCACCTTCCACGTTCCCCACCTCCTAATACCGTCACCATAGGAGTAAGGATTTCAACACATTTGTGGAGTGAAGGGGGACACGTGTATTTGGACCCTAACAGATGACCTAGAGATGTTTCTTCTTTTTCTTTCCACAGTTGTCATCAAGCAGAGTTTCAGTTTGAACTCAGTAACCTGAGTTTAAAACCTATAAATAAACTTTTATCTATTTTATTTAACTTCTCGAAACTATAAAAGAGTATTGTCGGTTTGTTATTTTAAAAGCAATCACTGTAATTTGGTTGAAGACTCAGCTCCAAAGGAGAATTTTCCTTTGTTTTTTGTTATTGCTGTTGAGCAATTTTTACCCTTTCCTCTTATTTTAATAACTTTTTTAAAAGGGAGGAAAAGCAGGCCTTTAGGCCCTAGGAAATGTCTGTCATCCCTGTTTGCTTTCTTAGCAGTTTGAACTGCTTCACATCTAGGGTTTTTTTGGTGGCGGTTCTTTTGTTAAAAGACAGCTGAATTTATACCATAATATCTCTTTTGTGCACAGTTGTCAGGAAATCTACTTAGCCCTTGAATTTTAACAAAATAAACTCTGCTTATT